AGTAACTATCAAATGACATTGTCCAATTGTATAACATCGTTTTGAAATAGGTATTGTTTTATTAATAGTAGAAATAATAAGATGATTTGAAAATTTTTGACATAACTAAAGAAAATATTATTTTATCATAAATGAAAATCAACACAATGAAGCGAAATAATATAATTAAAATAAAAAGTTTGTATTTTCTCTCACATCATAGTTGAGTAGTTAATTTATATGTCTCCCTTTTTTTCTGTTCATTATAATTATCAATAGAGTACAAAGTGTAAGTATCAATGCATACTACCGGTAAGATGATTAACGTTTTTTTCTTTTTTTCTTTTCTCTTGACATATGATTGCGTATGAACTTATGACTAAGCATACTTGACATTTGTCTGAGAATGTATCATTTATTCTTTCGAAACGATCAATTCTTCATTAGATATTAAGGAAATATTTTAGTTTGACAACATTTCACATTAGTTAAATAGTTAATTTTTCTTTTTTTTTGCCTCAAGCATACATTGGAATAAGAATTATTATAATGAACTCTCTTTTCCTTTTCAAAAAGAAGAGAAAGATGAAAACATAATTATGTTAAATTGTACATTTTAATATCTAATGGACATATACTGATCAAGATTACTTTTAAGTATCATCTATTGATCAGCAATGAGTAATGTGCTGTCTATTCACACAATGACAAATGTTAGCGGACATATATCTCTTCTCGACATGTGTCTATACCCTCGAACAACAAAGAAAAGACAAATGGTCAAGACACTGTGAACTATTGAGAAAGAGAAAAACAATAACCAATGACAAATCTTTAAGTATCTTCGTACATGTACAAAATCTATTTATTATATTTACCTGTATACTTTGATCATAGAAAATAAAAATAAGCACCAATATAAATACAATATGATTGTTTTGCATTGTTAAGTTTTATTTATAATTTAAATATTACATATCTAGTTTCTAAACATCTAAGAAACAAAAAAAATTTCATTGATATATATATAGATTCAAGTGTATTTACTCAGAGTAGTGCTTAATATAGCAATGATAGTAGTAGTAGTAGGAGATTGATCATCGAAAAGAAAACTAACAATAGCATATTTGACAGATCTACACTAAGAATGTTTCTTTCTTCCTTTCGCTTTTCTCTCTCTCTCTCTCTCTCTCTCTTATATCTTAACTATATCTTTCTAATGGTTGTATCTATAAGTTATCGGGTGGAACTGACGAAAAGAGCTTCTTCGTCTTTTTGTCATCAACGTAGACACACACACTTATATATATATACAGTAAAACCTCTATTAGTGAACACTCCTCCTTTATGAACAACCTGTTAAACTGAACACTCTCCGGTCCCACCGCGCGAATTTTGCTTGTTTTGCCTCCCTCCTTTATGAACACCTCGTGATTCTGAATGTGAACGCATTTTTTCGGTCCCGTCCGTATATATTAACCTTATCAATATGAACTCTAAAGGTGTCGCCACTTAAGAAAATAATACTATTGGAGCGATATTGGTGAAAACCAATGAACTGATTGGTTATGTAACTTAATTCAATGAATACGTACGAAGAGAGAGAGACAATAAGAAAAAAATAATCAGACCACTGTTATTGATATCGTTGTTTCTTTAGATATATTTTCTGCCTTTGTCTTTAAGATATGTCATCTCGACATGATCTTACTCTCGAAGAAAAAATTAAATTAATTAAAGAGAATGAATGTGGTTCATCATATCGTGAATTGTGATACATTTAAATTATGAACTGGTGCTGTATCAAACATTGTGAAGCAAAAATCTATTCTGGATTTTTTCAAACCTATTCAGTCAGGAACTATACATCGTACTTAAACTAGTCTATTAAAAAAATGTAGTCTTAAAACTTATATATTCATATAAAATAACAAAATCTACTTAAGCGCCATCAATAAATGATTAAATTACTCTTTTAATCAATATTTGCTTATCCCCCTCCTTTATGAACACTCTATTATACTGAACGTTTTCCACTGGTCCCGACAGTGTTCATATTAGACAGGTTTTACTGTATATAGAAGAAAAAAAAAGAAACAGAAAGCAAGTAAACTTTCTGAACATTTTTTTCTCTTTTTCTTTATCATATATTTTTTTTCTCTTCTCTCATTTATTCTCTTCTTTAGTTGTTACTAATGTATATAAAATAAAATATAAACAATAGTTAACTATCGAAGAATGAATAATGATGATGATAATAATCGTGACTATTTAATCAAATGAAGATATACTTATGTTCTATATAAAAAAAAAAAAAAAAACTCGATCGATTAACATCAAGTTTATTATCTCACAAGTTTATAAAAGTGTGTGTTCAATCAAGATACTAAATCATGTACATATTGCGCGTCTATCTATCATTATTTTTCTCATCTCTCATTCTCTTTTTCTAATAGTAAATGTATATATGTATGTAAAAGTGAAGACAAAGGCTCAACATTGTCTTAGAGGTAGAGCCAGATTAGATGATAAATAGACTCTTTCTTTCTTTCGTAAGAGTAACAATAGTAATATTAATACAGGTCAAATGAATGACAGATCAACCCACATATCTAATTCTATTTGATGTGTATAAAATAGATTTCGTTTATTTTATATACTACAAAATTTCGATTGTCCGATTTGATATTTATAATAATCAATCTTTACTTTTAAGTCAAAAGATCATAAATAAATGAAAATGATTAATAACAGGTGGTTAATACATCGTTTTACTATGATAAATGTGCAAAAGAAACAATGTTATTAAAACACATATATATATACACACTTTCTTTCTCCTCTTTATTGGATATTATTCGAACATTCAACTAGCCCCGCGGGGAACTACATCCTGTTCCAACGCCAATTATCAATTGCGTGCTCCAAGGCGAATAAAAGAAGGAGAATGCATGTAGCGATCAATTCGATTAATGTGTCAATAAATCTCACGTTGTTAGTTTCATTAAAACTTTCTTTGATTTTTCTTATTAAAATGAATGTACATAATACATTTCTTAATATATATATATATACAAGTAATGATTTAACCTAAACAATGAATAAATCAATAGGAGATCATCAATTGTTCAACATGTAACAAACTATCTTCATATCTATGCAACAAGATAGCGGAAGTGTAAAAAAAAAAAAAGAAAAAGTCCTCAAGAGAACAAATGACTACTGACCAATTCAGTTCTTTGTAGACATTCAAATTAAGGATCATCTTACGATGAAATAAGAAGGAGTAAAAGAAGAAACAGTTTTTATTTGCTATGCATCAATGATGGTTGCTTGCTTTCCTTCCGTCGTCCACACAAATTACATTGAATGTTATATAACAACAAAAAAAAAAAAGAACTTGATTTAAGAAAAGAGTCATTTACTATCTATCTATCTATTTACAAAATTCTCTATATTAATTGATCGATTGAAATACTTGAGAATCAATACAAATGATAGTAAAAAAAAAAAAAAAAAAAAGGGATACATTGTGTATTCGTTTTATATTCTCATACAGCTATATATTGATAAATTTGATTGATAGTAACACGTATAATGAAGAATAAGCTTTCTTTTTTTTTTGTGTCGTTGTTATTCGTGTTCTTTCTCTTCACTCGATAGTGAAAAAAAAAAGAATCTTACATAAACAAAGTGACAAGTTAATATTCTCCTTTTTACTCGTATCATTAATACCATGTGTCAGTCGTTTTTTTGTTGTCTCATGCAATGAACATACATATCTTATTGACATCGTGTTTTTTTACATTAGTCAATAAATGCTTATTAGTTATGGTCACTGTCTACTAGCAATAACTAACTTACTCAACTTCCGAAAGGCTTGATGGATGTTAGACAAGAAAGAAAAAAGAGACTCGAATAAAAAAAGAAAAAAAGCATAAATGCACATCATTAAAGAGTAGTAATGTTAGATGAATTTTTTACTTTTTTCTTTCTTATGTTGATTATTACATTCAACAACGGTGATATCGAAAAAGAATAAGTCGTAGTCGAGAACAAAAGTAATTTAAATGATGATTGAACTAACAAATATACGCATACATGGTGTATATTTATAAGATGATTTGAACGGATATTGAACATGTTAAAGAGACACAAATTGTGAGTATGTATCTCATAATGGGGGGAAAAAAAGAAGTCGAAGAATGATAGCAGAAGGAAAAAATAAAGTGTCTTGGTGCGTGCAATTTATATTCATTACGCTTGTTTGTACATGATGATCAAACAGAAAAGTGATGCTCAGATAACCTTCAAAGCAATTCATTCATTATTCGCTTTCTTTTTCGGCTTGTATGTCTTGTCACGAGAAATATAAGATGAAGAGCATGAAGGAACTCAATTGACAGAATGACTAGAACGATGTAACAATGAAATCATCTTATTATTATTCAGAATTCAAATAATAATACTATGTCGGTTATTTCTTCTTGTTCTTCTTATCTTACTGAATACTTGATGCATCCTTGAAAATTACGCATATACTCTTCAAGAAAATATATTCATAATGTTAATTGTAATCAGCATAGGAAACTAATAATTTTCGATAGAGACAATCAACTATAGAAGCAAACAAAGAGGAGAAAAAAAAGCATCTGCATATATTGTCTGAAATTAAACGACAAAATGATATTTCCTGATCAAATAAATATTAACGGAATATAAAATAAATCAATATTTTTTTTTAATTTTATTCATATTTATGTGAACCATCTTTTTTTTTTTGGTTTCTTTTATGTCATAAAAAAAGTTGTATACAATCTATCAGAATTGTAATATGTGTTATATATACTTATTTCTTGTCACGTAATGTAACCATGACAAACACATACATCATTTTGATATAAAATTCCAATTTTCGAATATTGATATGATTTTATTAGAATGTTACTATTTTCATGCATAATAAAGCTTTCACAAACTACATTTTCTTTTTGAATAATTATTTTAAAAAATTGTAAATTCTATTCAAAAAGAAATTTACAAATAATTAGTAAAATTAATATAACAAAAATTAATGAAAATATTGACATTGGAATGATAGTATATTTTATTGATTGATTTTGTCTATTTCTACATTGACAACGTAATGGATATTCAACTCTATATAATAGAAATAAAATCAAATAGAAATATAATTATATTTTCATTTACCTTTCATTTTGTGTGAAAATTGTTTGTCGAGCATCTTTCCATTGATTGGGTCCTTGTAAACGATATCGATATGGAGTACAAGGTCCAAAAAGTAAAAACCAACCAAGTTTAAAATCATTTAAAAGATAAAATACTGAAAATAACAAGGTTTACATATTATAATAGATATCATTGATTTCATCTTACATATATCTGGTCGACAACCAACTTCATCAGCTAGTTCATTACAATATTCAATATAGTCAACTTGTATCGTATGTCGTGGTGATGTAACATATCGTTCACACATTTGATTGAAACGTTCATGAATATTTTCATTCATTTTCATATGTGAAGGTAATTTTAATTCACGTTTAAATATACGAACAGCCCAACGTGCTTGTAATTCTGCCATTGGATTGATAGCACCCCATGGTTGTATTAAACCAATAACAGCAAGTGTTGAATGAATTAAATGAGATGGCCAAACAAATTTATAAAGTTGAATCTAAAATGATGGAAAAAATGTTTAGAAACAACGATTTTTTCATAATGTTAAGCACGTAGCTCCAATCCAAATAGTAATTTTAATAGCTAATGGAGTTTTCTATCCAATACATTTTATAGCAAGATTTCACAGATGAACAATGATGGCAAGATTCTCGAAAAAATCGAATGCGGTATTTTTCAGGTTCTAGAAGATTGTGACAGAGCTATTTTTGAACGATGCCAACTTAGAGAGCACAAAATTCTGAGTAAAATGAGGAGTCGCCGAATTTTCTACGACTTCCTCATAAAAAGTTACAAGTATCACAAAAATCATGAAAAAAGCGTTTTTAGTCGATTTTGAAAAAAATTTCGTTTTTTCATGATTTTTGTGATACTTGTAACTTTTTATGAGAAGTTCGTAGAAAACTCGGCGACCTCTCATTTTACTCAGAATTTTGTGCTCTTTAAGATGGCATCGTCCAAGAATAGCTCTAGCAAAGTCTTCTAGAACCTAAAAAATACCGTGTTCGATTTTTTAGGGGCTTTACCGTCATTGTTCATCTATGAAATCTTACTATAAAGTATATTGGATAGAAAACTTCATTGGCTTTTAAAATCACTATTTGGATTGAAGCTACGTGCTTAACATTATGAAAAAAATCGTTGTTTCTAAACTTTTTTTCGATCACTTTATTAAATAAACATACGTATTTAATTCTACATTTTTCTTTTCTTATTTACCTTATTATCTTTGACCGATAGAGTAGTTTCATTTAAATAAGAAAATGAAATATTAAAACCAGTTGCCATAAGAATACAATCAATATGATCAATTTGTGTACCATCTTCGAATATTACACCATGACCATCAGATGTAAATTCTTTTACATTTGATTTTATTATTACTAAACCAGATAAGATTCGATTAGGTAAATCATCATTAATGAATGGATGTTGTTCTAGAAATTAATCAACATATGAAAACAAAAACAAAAAGAGAAATCACTTACGTAAAGGACGATGCTTAGGTTTAAGACTATATAATTCATGATCAAATTTTTTACTTAATTCTCGTTCGATTAATCGATTCATTAACCAAGGAGAATATTTCTGAATTGTTGCAAG